GCTTGTCTGAGCGAATGCCTAAAGACGCCCGCTCAGATCTAGAGAGCTCCAGGCCGTTTTTCTACTATGGCCGGCCTGGAGGCAGTTAAAGCCCATTTCCACCTTTGTAAGTGATTTGTGTTTTTTGCGATAATGTAGAGGTGCAGGGGCGGTGTATATGTGTGTGCATTGTCAGGAGTCACAGTGCTGTTTTTCATATTTTATTTAATGGACTCTTTCACATTAAATTCCCTCCACAAAAGTTGCCAAAGGATCCAGCTGTAGCTTCGGCTGATCCTTAGGCTTGCTTTGTTTGCGGGAGCCCTTTTAGTTCAGTTGAACGGAAGGGCTGCTGTACGGGCTATTCACTTTAGCCCGTACAGTAGCCGAAGGTGGCTGAGTGGCTCAGCCGAGCCGAAGGCATATGACAGCCGAAGCAGGGCGGACGACCAGCCATAAGCCCTGCAAATGACAGCTGGACGGAGCCAGCCGTGATCTCATGGCTCACTCCACCCAGTTGTAATGACAGATCAGCGTACTCAAATGACCTAAGGATGCTGAACTGTCAATAAAAAATAACAACTGGTTGGAACTGGCCTGGACGTCACGTCCAGCTGTGCCTAGTTGTTATCCATTGGCCCAGACTTGCTGGAAGTCTCTAGCAGGAGGGGGTCAATAAAAAACAGATGGGCGGAGCAAGCTGTCACTGCTAACTTCGCCCAATTTTTTATTATTACTTTTTTCAAAAATATTTTAGATTTTACTATTTATTTATTTTTTAATTTTTTCAACTTTTTTTGTGTGACTATTTTCATAGATTTTTTTATTCTGCTCGGTACCACGGAGGTATGCCGGCTATTCACTCACTGCCGCTCGGCCCCTATGTGAATAGGGGCGAACGACAGCGAATGAGCTGCTGGAGCTTCGGTTCAGCCGATCCAGACGTTGGATCGGTTGAGTCGAAGTCCTTCTGCACTTCGGCTCAGCTGAACATGCAGGGCATGTTTGGCTGACCGAAGTGCAGCGGTATTAAGCCGTAGTGAATAGCCGAACGTAGTTCCGCTCACTTCACTTCGGCTGGGTTATTTTATTATATAATATATTTCATATATAATATAAAATGTGGGAACACTAGAGAGAAAATGTAAAACATAGCTGACCAACAGGATATGTGCATGCCACCTATGCATGAATGGAATTGTAAATGAAATACGTATCTTCTCTGAGATCAATATAAATAAAAGAGTTTGCATTGCTGACTTTATTAGTATGCTAAAGCCAACTGTCATGCCTTATAGTTAAAGCCCATGTCCACCTTTGTGGGGCATTAAAAAAAAAAATCATATGCCAGCAATGTACACGGTGTGCAGATGGTGCCGGCATATGCAGATAATGGATATAAATACTGGACAGTTGCAGGGAAGCCTGTAAGCAGCTTGGGTAGGCCACAATGTAAGAGGAAGAAACAAGGCAGTTTTTATCTTGAAATAAACATTAGGAGTCTCAGCTTATGATTTACCCTTCAGCAAACATTACAGATTTTGCAGCTAAGAGTCAGCTGTGAAAACATTATTTGTGTGGCATCTTTACAGTGCAAGAGCACTGGAATAGGGCAAGAGAGGACATATGGGGCTGTAAATGGTGACAAACCAGCAGAGGTTGCAGGAGCTGGTAATGGTGGCAAGGCCAGGAGAGGTGGCAGGAGCTTGTAATGGTGTAAGATACTTTATGTGTGACAGATTACAAGGACAAATTTAGTCAGTAGCTATAGCTGCAGGGATTTTGCATGCACTCCTTTTTCTGACTGCACCGGACTGGAACGCAGGCACTGATGTGCCACACGTTAACGTGTGGGCGATCGTAATGCAGCCAGAGGGCATGGCTGTGGTGCCATTGAGTTCAGTGCACCGCCACAACCCAAAATAAAGTGAGATGGCCAGAATGCAATCCAGTGCGTTCCGGCCAGAATTGAGGCTGGTGTGAACTAACCCTAATTACGGACTGGTTAATTTTTAAGAAAGTAAGCTGGTCCACAGTGTTAGGAGATAGTTGCATGCTGCCACTATGCAAGTGGGGCCCTTTTTTATTTGCGAATGTAGAACTGGCTTCACCCAATTGTATCTTCTGCCCCATGTGCTCCAAGGTAGAGACTCTGATAGTTTAGAGTTAGGACCGCACTATAAGAGGTGCCTTGGCGCGGCTGTGCGGCTTTCACATTTTCTGCAGAAGACGTTTATCCAAACCTCTTTTTTTAACCTTCGTGTGAGACAAGTTTTTTTACATGCTAGCTTGTGAGTGTGCCAGGAATACTTTTTGCTGTTTTACTATAGAACTGGCTTGCCCCCTACTAGCTGCATGTACAGAACCTTTGCCTTTCCCTTTAGACCTGCCTGACATTATGAATGCAGGGGATTTCTTAACTTAATTAGCAGCTATGACAACAGGGGGATCAAGGATGCACTAAAAATGTGCCGCACAAGTATGTGGTTATGTACTGCAAACAAAGGACTGCTTTGCTGGTTTCAGGGACAAGTTCAAGCTGCTGACCCTCAAATAAAAAAGACCCATGCAAATTATATTTAAATAAAACACACCTCCCTTTAAAAAAACAAAAAAAACAGAACATTAAAGGACATTTCCATCTTTGTAAGTGATTTTGAGTTTTTTGTGGTAATGGGGAGGTGCAGGGGGGATGTACATGTGTGTGCATTCTCAGGAGTCTCAGGGCAGTTTTACATACTTTATTTTATAGACTCTTTCACAGGCCAGTGACCTAGACAGCACATACCCGGTGACACCGCACAGTGGGGGGGATCTATCGAAACTGGAGCAGGCAAAATCTGGAGCAGATTGGCACTGCAGCCAATCAGATTCTCTGACTCTAAAAACGTACAATCTGCCTATCTTGCATAGGCAGATCGTACTTGCGATGATCGCAAGCCACGCCCCCTGAGGGGGCGGGCTTCCGATGACCGCAATGCCGAACGGGCAGTGTGCGTTTGTGCACACCGGCCCGTCCGGCTTTTATCTTACAAACATGCTACACACCCGCCGAACATCGTACGATGCTGGGCGAGTTTTGAAACATGTTGGTAAGTTTAAAGTCGTGCGACCTTACAGTAGTAGAGGTCGCACGGCTTCCATACACCTTACGATAAGCGTACAATTGCGGGATTTCCCGCGATTATCGTACGATTATCGTAAGGTGTGTGGGGACCTTAACACTGACAGGAGGTCTCCCTCACACAGACTCAACTATGACTCATCTCTGCTCAGAGGGGTGAGGGGAGGGGGATCAGCTGATTGCAGTTTAGAGATTACAACACAACCCTATGAGAGACAATTGGGGATCTTGTGGAGGGAATTTTGAATTTCTAGGTCTCTGGCCTGTGAAAGAGTCTATAAAATAAAGTATGAAAAACAGCCCTGTGACTCTTGAGAATGCACACACATGTACCTCCCCCCTGCACCTCCCCCCTGGACCTCCCGATTACCACAAAAAAACTAAAAATCACGTACAAAGGTGGAAATGTCCTTGAAACCACAACCTCAACTCTAAAATGCTAAATCCCAAACTATGTATATATATTTTGTGGGTGTTTTTTTAACCCAATCGAAAGTAAAAAAAAAAAAAAAGAAATATGAAAGTATTAAATAAAGTAAAAAAGAACCCAATAAAACATGTTTCTGTATGTCTAAACACAAAAGGGTAGTCCTAAATAGGACTCTTGGGTTTTGGTGGTACACAATATTATGTAGCCCACTACACTGCCATTCACAGAAATATAGCACTATACAACACAGTGAACACAGGGGGTACACACTATGTAGCCCATTATACTGCAATATACTGTACTGTAGCACAATACAGCACTGTGTATAGCACTATTTAGTACTATATAGTATACCAACAACTATGTCTCTAAGATAATTGTTAGAGAGATAAGTCTCCAACACACATGACTGTGCATAGCACTGTATATACAGTTAGGTCCAGGAATAATTGGACACTAATGCAAGTTTTGTTATTTTGGCTGTTTACCAAAATACATTTTGTTACAGATAAATAAAAAATCTGGGCTTAAAGTTCAGTCTCTCAACTGTAGGTTATTTAGGGTATTCACATCCATATTGGAGGAAGGGTTTAGGAATTACAGCTCTTTAATAGGTAGCCCCCTCTTCAAGGGATCAAACGTAATTGAACAATTGACTCAAAAGCTGTTTCAGGGACAGGTATGGGCTATTCCTTCATTATCTAATCATCAATTAAGCAGGTAGAAGGTTTTGAGTTGATTCCAGGTGTGGGATTCACATTTGGAAACTTTTGCTGTGAATCCTCAACCTGCGTTCAGAGGAAAAACAGGCCATCCTTAGGCTGAAAAAAAAAATCCATCAGAGAGATAGTAGGAACATTAAGAGTGGCCAAATCAACAGTTTGTGACATTCTGAGAAAAAAAAGAGCTCTTCAACACAAAAAGACGTGGACGTCCACGGAAAACAACAGTGGTGGATGATCAGAGGATCTTTTCTATGGTAAAGAAAAATCCCTTTACAACATCCAGCCAAGTGTAAAACACTCTCCAGGAGGTAGGCATATCATTATGCAAATCTACCAAAAAGAGAAGACCTCACAAGAGCAAATACAGAGGGTTCACCAAAAGGTGCAAAGAATTAATAACCCTCTAGAATAGAAAGGCCAGATTAGACTTTGCCAAACAATATGAAAAAAGTCAGCGCAGTTCTGGAACAACGTTCTTCGGACAGATGAAACCAAAATCAACCTGTACCCTAATGATGGGAAGAAAAAAGTATGGAGGAGGCTTGGAATGGCTCATGATCCAAAGCATACCCCATCATCTGAAAAGCAGTGACAGGGTGATGGCATGGGCATGCATGGCTTCCAACGGCACTGGGTCACTAGTATTTATTTATGATGTGACAGAAGACAGATTCAGCCAAATTCAGCAAAGTTGATTGGATGGTGCTCCACTTCACAGATGGACAATGACCCAAAACATACTGCGAAAGCAACCCAGAAGTTTTTTAAGGCAAACAAGTGGAATATTACGCAATGGCCTAGTCAATCACTGAATCTCAACCCGATTGAGCATGCATTTCACTTGCTGAAGACAAAACTTTAGGTAGAAAGACCTATGCACAAACAACAACTGAAGGCCGCTGCAGTAAAGGTCTGGCAAAGCATCATGAGGAAGAAACCCAGCCTTTGGTGATGCCCATGTATTCCAGATTTCAAGCAGTTATTGCCTGCAAAAGATTTTTGACAAAGTATTAAAAATGAACATTTTATTTATTATTGTGTTAATTTGTCCAATTACATTTGAGCCCTAAAATCAGGGGACTATGTATGAAAATAGTTGCAATTCCTGAACATTCCATATTATATTTTTGTTCAACCTCTTGAATTAAAGATGAAAGTCTGTACTTCAATTGCATCTTGGTCGTTTCATTTCAAATCCATTGTGGTGGCATACAAAGCTAGAATTATTATAATTCTGTCACTGTCCATTTATTTCCAGACCTAACTGTATCCCAGCTCTGAGGAAGGGGAAACTCCCCGAAAACGCGTTCAGTTGAGTCAGCTTGTTTCTGCTGGTCTAGCAGCATATTTGCATTGTTTTCTCTGACTGCCAGGAATCTGCATGTATCCTGAGATTTATGTCCAACACGCTTTTTATTAACCTATTTTGTGAGTACCATTTATCACAGGTTACTAAGCTTCTCTCTGACACCCACCTCTCCCCCTCTGCCAATCCCTACACTGGCTTCCACTCGCCCAGAGGATAAAATTCAAAATATTAACAGTCACTTATAAAGCCATCCACAACTCCGCCCCCGGATATATCTCAGACCTTGTCTCAAAGTATCACCCTAACCGTCCCCACCGCTCATCCATTGACCGCCTGCTTTCCTGCTCCCTTGTCTACTCCTCCCATACTCGCCTTCAGGATTTCTCTAGAGTCTCTCCCATCCTCTGGAACTCTTTACCCCAACCTGTCTATCTCCCACCTTGACTGCCTTTAGGCGTTCCCTAAAGACTCATCTCTTCAAGGAAGCCTATCCCACCTCGACCTAACCACTGAACCTTCACATTCTCAAATAATTCTTCCCCACACAGCTACCTCCTCATGTATCATTTCCCCCTCCTCTTTCAGATTGTAAGCCCTTACCATCTTGTCTTGAATTGTAATGTATTCCTTATATTGTAAAGCGCTGCGCAAACTGTTGGCACTATATAAATACTATTTAATAATAATAATAAACAAATAAAAGGATTATTTGCACCAGGAAAGGTGCCCGGTGTTTCTTTTTTATCTAACTGTATCATTGTTTAGCACTGTATAGTATTGCAGAAACTATCTCTCTTTAAACACTCTGTCAGCCCTCCCTATCTATTCTATATTCTAAGTCTCCAACACACACTGACTGTGTATAGCACTGTATATAGCACTATATGATAGCAACAACTATCTCTCTGGGTTAGTTGTCAGAGAGAACCGCTACACATGGCGTGAATCATAAAAAACAGCGAAGCAGATGCTAGCTAATCTGCTGTGAAACAAATACCGGTAAACGTTAGACTGTGGATGTGTCGTGAACAACAGGCCCGCCAGGTGTAGCGGTTATATGACTCAATAAATCCATTTTTAATGCACTACGAGCCCCTGTTTCGCTCTCTCCTCTTATCCTTTCCGGATCCAAACACTCATTTTTTGAGACCAAGAACTGGGATAGACTCCCGGAAGCAACACAGGGTATCTTCCCACGGCCAGGACGGCTTTTACTACTTCGATATCGGTACCTCTTCTGAGACCAGGATCGAAAGTGGACTGCAACACCTCACGGAAAGACGGAGTGAATACCAACCCCTTTTCTCCATCCCGGTGAAAGAGATAGCTGTTATTTCTCCGATATCTGGTGAGTGTATCCCCTAGGGGGGTCCACCTTTCTTCCGACAAACTATTCTCCTGGATACAGCTAATTTGGCTACATCCATCGGGTTCCCCTTCAGTTTAATTGGACATTATTTCCCTTTTTGAAGATTGATTGTTCACTTGATTCATACTTTTTAATATCACTCACCTGATTGCACACTATATAAGATGACAGGTGTATTCACATTATATGTTTATAGATAAAGATATAGTTCCAATACACAGTCCATTATTCAAACATTTATTATATTTATATTTATTTACACAGTTTTGAGTAGTCATTTGTAAATACTATTTTTATTCATTTATTCCCGTACAAAGTTTCACACACACTGTCACCCATTGATACATTGGTTATATGAAGATGGTTACAAATTATTTACATTTATATTAATGTGTAATTAATATACATTTTAATACACACTGGGAGACCCATAGCGCTGGACCTTTGACCAATCAACCTTGAGGCTTACTTTGCCTGAGTTTTAGCAGCTTGCGGCTAATCCGTTTTTTCCCTCTTGAATATCAGTTTGTTTCATAGTGCAGAATACCTATTTCTCCCTTCAACACAAACTGACTGTATAAATCACTGTATATGGAACTGTATATATCACTGTTTAGCACTTTTTAGTATAGCAGCAACTATCTTGCCCTGCAAACTCTCTGGCAGCTCTAATATCTACTGTAAGTCTCTAAAATACACTTTCAAAGGGCACCTGGGAACCCTGAAATTTATAGAGAGGGGGCTGGCACATAAAAACACCCATTATTGGCCTTTCTAAGCTATATGACTACATTTTAAATGCCAGGAAGTGCATTAACTGTAATTGGTTGCTATAGCAGCCAATGGCTGCATTAGTTTGCTGTTTTTAAAAGTGCAAACAGTTTGAGTGCACCTCAAACTCATGTTTGACTCAAAGTTCACACCTACTACTGGTATCGTCTGTCTATACGTTAGCAGATATTTTGGTGCATCACATTATCCAAAACTTCTGTACGTTTTGGGATGCCTTGCTTAAATGGGCTACTTAAGCTACAGCATTTCAATGGGATTTCCAGTCAGGGTTTTGCCATTCTAATTGACTGAATTTCGTCTGTTTGAACTATTCTGCATTTGAGTCACTCCTATGTTTTGGATTATTGTCATGTCACAAACAAGGTCTTTTGAGTTTTACAACACACCCTGGCAATCTGCTGTAGAATTTATGGATACAGCTTGATATTCACTGCTTTTCAAATGATGCAAGCTCTCCAGATCCTAAGGCAGCAAAGCAGTTCCACATCACTATGCTCCATCCACTATGTTTCACAACTTACAACAACTTCTATACTTTAAAACAAAATAAAATGTACTCAACACTATATAAGTTTACCTATTAATTGTGTAAAGTAGATAGTAACTATACTTTCAGATTGTAGCACATTTTGATTTGATGGAGCTGTATAAAATGTAATTTGCACAAAACTGTTCTAAAATGTCAATTAAGAAAAAGCTGTAGCAGAACTTTCAGTAGAGCCTGCACATGGAAAGCAAAATGATTTCATTTCCAAATGTTAGCAAGTCATATGAATGCATTCACCCCTATCTTATTTATAAGTGAATATTATTCATGAGCTCAGCTCAGAACTGAAATAGAATGTACCACACCTGGATTCATCCTATTTTTGCTACTTTGCATTTCATATAGATCTTTTCTTTTTACACAGGCTTGTTATTTTGATAAGTATTTAAGCTGCTTTGGGGAAACATTTTATCTTAATAAGAATAACCTATCAAGCAAGAAACTGACTAGAGCCATAATCATTCCACATAGTGAAAAGTTTAGCTTTTTACTGCCAAAAATTAATTCTACACTTGGTAGCTTCGGAAAATGGTTTGGTTTTTAGCGGTTGGTTTTGATTGATGGGCAGAGTGGGGGAGCAGCAGCCTGTCAAAAAGAAATGATGGGATTAGTAGCAGTTGAATAAAGAGACATGGTGGGTTTAAGAGGTTTTGGACATATTGTGATTACTGTTTGAATGTTTTGCAAATATTAGTATTCTTGTCAGGTAGCACAAACTCTTTAAAATGCAATTTGCATTTATGTTGGTGTAATTGACATTGCTCCCTTAGGAGCCCTATGGATTGTGGGAAACAGGAATCACAGAAAGTGTCATCTGTTCTTGGTGTTCTCAGAGAGTCTACAGAGATAACATCTCTAATTATTGTAGTTGCCATTTTAATAAATATAGAACAGACATCTCTAAATCCCTTTTCTTTCTTTTTACTTCACTGATGTTTTGTGTTTAATTAGACAGTGGCTTCTTTAATTACCATTAGTAAAACATCCAATTTATTTTCTGCCTTTCTTTAATTCTAAACTTACTTTTTTATACAATTGCAATTATGAATAGCAGCATTTGCTCAAAACTGGAGTCCAAGTGTTCCTATTTTCCCTTTTTCTATTTAAAGCATAACTCCTGCCACAAATATCTAAAATGAATAAAATGATAAAAATGATAATAATAATAATAAAAATTAATAGCCCATTTAAAGATAAAATATAACTGCAGTACAGTTTTTTTCTGCCACTAGATAGCCTCGGTGTGATAGCCAGCATTATGCAACCCACTTCCACTAAGCCTAGGTTGTGGTAGACCAGCCCCAGAGTAAGACTGTTATTGGCCGGCGGTTCTGCTGCCGTCAAAAAAAAAGAAGAAAAAAAAACCCGCCCGGGAGAGAAACATTGCTTTTTTTCTTTTTTTTTCTTTATTCTGACACAGAGCCATGTCAGAATATAAAAAAAAAATGTTGGCCATAGGAATGCATTGTTAGATTCCTATTGGCTATTTAAATTTGCAATAGCCAATGGCAAACTAGCTATTGTACCCGCCCTCTGCTGCTGTCAATCAGTAGTGGTGGACCTGCAGCCTGGAGAACTGCAGCAGAGGGGGGGTACAATGCTAGTTTGCTATTGGCCATTGCAAATTGAAATAGCCAATAGGAATCTAGCAATGCATTCCTATGGCAAAATGTCAGAATAAAGGAAAAAAAAAAAGAAAAAGCAGTGTATCTCTCCTTGGCGGCGGGAGCGGGAGACTCCCGGAGCGCCCGGGAGAGTTTGCTGTCTGGAGATCAGTGTCTCTGGTTAGCTGGTAACCAGGGATGCTGATCTCTCTGCAAGTGGCCAGAGCCAGCCGTAAGAATACGGCTGGCTCCGCCCACCTGTCAGAAGCAGGCTGTCGGCCGGCTTCGGCTTTCAGCGAGGCTCAGCAGTGCCGAGGCATATGCGTTTGGCTCGACTGAGCCGCTCGGCCAAGTTCGGGAGCTGTACGGGCTATAGTGAATAGCCCGTACAGCAGCCCTTCAGTTCTCCTGAACCGAAGGGGTGCTGGGGCCGAAGCTAGCCGAAGGATCGGCCGAAGCTACGGCTAGATCCTTCGGCTGCTTCATGAATAGACCCCTGTGTGTCCTAGTCTTTGTTTTCTAACAAACTGTAGATTGCTGGAATTTGGCTTGAGGTAATCAATAATATTTATTTTTCAATTTTTTTTATTGAGTCACTTTAAAAGGAAACAATAATAGTTTGGGGGGTCAATGTTATTTCATTTTTTTATGTTTGTGTGTTTAAACTTGTTAGTGTTTTTTTATCTTTTTCTGTACATATTATTTGTTTAATATAATAAATACACGGTACACACATGGCTTAGGATTCCATGGGCACTATGGCTTTTAAAAAAGCAAAAGCACAACAGAAGCATTTCTCTTTCAGACACTCTGGTGGGAATTGATAAAAAGTGCCTGGGACAAGTTCTATTTCAACTGGTGTCTGTCAGTCAAAGTACCACAGCGCTGGATACTGAAAAATGGCCTGGATGGGAAGGGGGTTTAACACCGCGGATGTCAACTGGTTAAAGCAAACAGCCAAATTGTATCTTTAATTTTTTTCCACACAGCTTAGAAAATGAACATTATAAAGCTAATTTTGTGCTCCAGTTAAAATGGGGGGATTCAGTTTTTGTGAATCCCCCCATCTCTGATTGAATCACCCCCATGGAGCTCTAAATACCGTATATGGGGAGCACTGCTACTAGTGTTCATATCCCCCTTTCCTTTTGGTTTGATAAAGAAGTGTTTTCCTGAAAATGTGTGACCACCTGTCCCATCTTCCCCTATTGCATCCTACTACCTTTCCATCAGAGCTGCAGGGACCACTGTGCTACTAATTATCCTCCCAATAGCAGCCTGGAGGCATGCACAGGAGACGTGGCTCCCCCGACCATTACCAGCACCTGCCTCTCTGTGAGAGGGTTTGCTGTGTAGGATCACCGTTTTACAAGGACTTTGGATGATTACAACATGTACTTCGTAATAGGTAGGACTTGATGGACTTACGTCTTTATTCAACCTCAAATACTATGTAACTATGTAACTTCCACTGACAGCCACATAGTGAATGATTTGCTGTGAGTGCAAGGATTTTAAGAAAGAACTCCAGACAAAATTTTTATTAACCCTTGCAGTGGGGCTACTCCCGCACTGCAAGGGTTAACTCCTTATTTTTGTCTAGGTGCTAATAAAAAAAGTTATATTCACCTGAACCGTCGCGCTGGTTTGCTCTTAGTCTGGTCCTTCCAGCCTCTCTCCCTCTCCGCTGCAGTGGTCTAGGTCCCATAAATCATCACGTTCTATACACTGTGTATAGATGTGAGAACACTGAGAAACATTCTAATGCTGCAGCATAGTAGGAGACAGGCTTCAGAGATCGCAAAAGCAGTGAGCCAGCTCAGTGGTTCAGGTAAATGTAACTTTTTTTTAGCACCTAGACAAAAACGAACAGTTAACCCTTGCAGTGGGGCTACAGAGTTCTACTTTAACATTCTGTTTTCATGAAGTAGTTTTACTTTTATTCGCGATCAGGTCTCCATGGACGTTTTTTTAATATATTTTTCCCCAGCACCCTCCTGACCACCTCCTTGCTCTATACATTGATTGTTAGAGTGCATTCTGAGATGTCATACATTTGATATGTGCTCCCGTGAAGATGTTTACCTCGAGCTCTACTATATGATTGATCTAGGTGCTTCCCTGCTTCATTTTTGTGAGTGTATTTGCAATCTGTTATTTGGACACTGCTGTCTCCACATGTAATGTGCTGGTTCACTTTGCTCTTTACTTACTCTTGTTTTATTTTTAACTTGTGGATATCCTCTATCGGCAGTCATAGCAGCATGTCTAGAGGGCAATAAATTATAGCCACCTCTTCGGTTCACATCTCCTTAATCTGGTAACATAGTATAGTGTTATCCCCCATAGTGCACTTGTGGTTTTTGAATTGTTTTGGAGAGAAGAAAATGAGTCTCTGCTCTTACTCCTAATTTCACATTGAGGTTGGGAGCTTTGTAAACAACAGATTTTTCTTTTCAACAGATGACATAAGAGAAACACAAACATGTGAAAATTACATAATCATGATGAATCCTTCGCCAAATATGTAACCTAGCAGCGACACTAGAATCAAATAAAATTAATAATGCAAATGACAGTGTAAAAAAGTGTTGTGCTCTAAAAATGGTAACCAAATATTAAATATGTGCTAATATAACACAAATGAACATCAATATCATATAAAAAATACCATAAAGTAATTCATCAAAAAAACAAACATCAATCTGGAGAATAATACATTTACAGGGTTATTCACAAAAGGCTGAAGAGTTTGGAGAAGGCAGGAGAAAGTGAACAATCCAGGCCAAAATAGTCGATTCTGAAAAAATCTCCAATTCAGCTCATTTTTCAGTTCAGCTATGTTGCCCTAGATTGTTCACTTCTCCTGTCTTTTCCAAACTCTTCACCCTTTTGTGAATAACCTTGATAGTGATAATATCACCCAACAATGTGATATGTAACAATTAACTAAAAATCCAGAAAGCTGTATAAGTGAATGTCTTAAAAATGATAATCAACATCCACCTTTCAGTGCATAATAACATGAACTATATAGCAAAGTCCAAAAGTGAACAAAATATGTCTGTTATAAATGTGTAAACTGTGATAATTTACAAAAGCTCCTTAAGGTGAAAAAACGCTTGTGCTCCGTGTCTCCACCCATGTTTAACACTCCACACCTCTCACCTTAAACTTAAAACCTTTTCACAGGCCAATAAATGCTGCACCCCATTTCTCCCTCGCAGGGGTTAACCACACAAGCCCAGAAGCAGGCTAGCTGACTCCAGGAGTTCCCAATCCACCCTGGAGTTATATTCACTCAATTTCATAGATTGAAAAACAGGCATATCATAGCGCATAACATTTGTAATATTAAAAGCTTTAATAAACACTGGTACTCACAAAAACAAAGAATCTCATAAAAGTGCTTGTAAATAGAGGTAAAAAAAGCAGAGCTCTTTCCACACTCCTGGGCGCACCAGCATGTGGTAACTCCACCTCACATCGAGCCGGCTCCTCCCTAAGCACGTTTCGGCTAAGAAAACTTTCTCAAGGGTATGGAGAAATATACCTCAATCTTCAACAAGTAGCTAGTCAGTGCGAGTGTGCACCTATAGTGCGAGTGTGTTCCCCATAGTGCACTTGTGGTTTTTAAAATTGTTTTGGATAGAAGAAAATGAGTCTCTGCTCTTACTGCTTTACATGTGTTTGTAAATTTCACATTGAGGTAGGGAGCTCTGTAAACAACAGATTTTTTTTCAACAGATGACATAGGAGATCCTAAAACATGTAAAAATTACACCTAGCTCTACCCAGTGGATGCATATGAAAATACAAAATATTCATAAGCAGTATTTCAATATTTTTTACATTTTATATTGTAGTTGGAACTTTCGATAGAACACCGGCGCACTGGTATGCCGCCCTTTTTAGATGGAGCATGCGTCTCCTTCAGCCCAATACCATGGGCTTACGTCTCGCCATATGTTTTGGGAGATATAACTGTCTCCTCCGTCTTGATCCTCCTTGCTATGTCCCACATTGCACGCCGTGTCTCTGCCCTAAATGGGCGTGACCACGGCTGGCAGCGTTCATGCAGGCATATTTAATGGCCGCATATATCGGTCAGTTCAGCACGCAGCATTGGAGGGGCACATTCTAGCTGATATTTGAGGTATGTAGGTTTATACTAACATATTCTATTCACTTTACTCTATTTAATCAGTGACCTTGAATCACTCAAAATCTATTTCTTATGTTTCTCTTATATTAACTTAACTAATTGTTGAAGATTGAGGTTTATTTCTCATTTTTTACCACACATGCACCTTATTTCTCTATCATCACGATTCAGTGGCATTTTTTTCACATATTTATTTTATTAGCACTTTTTTATCCACAATTAATATTTGGTATTTGACACATGAATTACATTATTTTGTAATATATTCATTACTTTTAGTTTTGTAAGGTTTTTCTTTGTTCAGTTCATCATTAAAAATATTTTGTAATTTATTATTTTTAATTTATTATTTTTAATTATTAATTTAATACATATACACATCATTTATCACACGATCACTACTACACTTCACCAATCACTGTGTAAATGGTATTTAATTCAATATAATATATTATAGGTATAACACTAGTTTTATGAACTTATATAATATTAATATTACTATTCTAATTCACTTTATCTAATTCACTATTTACCATCTGCATCCTCTCTCACCAAGTCCACTATTCACTATTCTCTAACTATTATTATTTGGTATGATTATAAACATCACCAAATATGTATATAATTCATTAAAATAATTTCTTTTAATTTATCCGTTTTTCTCATAATATAATTTAATTTATTTCATAAATAAATGTATTTCTTATATTTTTTTATTATTATTTTTCATATATTTTTTTCATGTATTTATATTCACTCAAAACATTTCATAATCAATCAAACATAATATCACTTTAATCACTGCATCAGTTATTTATGTTATTTATCTCATACACAATTTTCAGTTGTATTCTTGGCTGCACAAAATTACGCGCTGCCTTTTTCTCATGTCCTACTCCTGCTGCGATATGCCTGCTGACACGACCTCCCCATGTTGGTTTTGCTGACTGATAGATCTGGTCCAATTCATCATTTCACCCTTTGTTCATTGGGTTTGCCTGTTGTCGATGGGTCCACAATAACTTGCAGGTGCATATTTGATTATTATTATTATCTATTTATTCTAATTACATTTCTAATTATTGGGATTCACCATATATTTATCCATTTCTTCACACTAATATGTCATGCATATGTATTTTTCCCTATGTTAAATCCTTCCTGTGTTGTCCATGTCTAAGAATTATAAGCATGTTCATTGATGTAGTTACTGATTGGCTACATATTGATTAGTTTTCTTTAGGATTAATATCCTCCTGAGGAAGCCTTGTCTAGACAAAACATATTGGGTTATGCAAAGAAGAAAACTCCATCTGCTTAATTCAATAATTATTAAGACCATTGTAACTCACTGTGTCATCCTGTGTCACCATTTGTATCTTGGTTAGTTATGTAACAAATCTCTCTATTGTGACAACACAATATGTTTTTAATTGTCTGTAATCAACAAATTATTTTGTTATAAAATACTGTGAAAGCTAGAGTGTTTCTAAAAAGCCCCCCTTTTCGGGCCTTGGCCTACCCGAAAGTGGGATTATCTTCCATAGGCTATATCTATACTATTGCAGTGGGAAACCTCGCTCTCCTCCATTGTTTTCCAGCATACGCCCACTAATGTTACAAAGATATGGATAACCAGAATACAAGACAGAGGTCAGGGCTGGCAGTAATCGTGAATAACCAGGATACAAGCCAGAGGTCAGAACATTCAGCAGATGCAGAATACAAGGATACAATCCAGAGGTCAGTACATAGGAATCAACAGGATGAAGTGCAAACTGTATAGTAGCAAGGCTCACCTGGGGCAAGGCAACTAGCTTGGAATATTGTTGCTCAGGCAGTGAGCCATAAGTCTGCTGAGTTAAATAAAGCAGGCAGAGGGGGGAAGCCACTCCGACTGGATGCAGTGGGGACAGTTCAAAAAGAGGACAGAGCTGGGCCTCTCTGATTAAATGTTGTGATGACAGTTTTAGAGAGAGGATGGAGCTGCATTGCTTTGATTAGGTGCTGTGGTGAGAGCTCAGTGAGGAGGTAAAAGCTATGCCGATTGCATGTGGCTGCAACACTCTGGGTAAGACCCGG